TGATCACCCAGAGGAGATTGTTTTTTTTCTCTTTATGGAAACTTGATGAAAGAAACTTGCCTGTGGAAGCTCAGATTGGAGAGATAGGTGCCTTGCGCTGAGGCTTGATCTGTCACCCGCTGTATCCACCAGACATAGCAGATGACAGATCATTGTACCGAGCTGGCACCCGGTAATAAATTACAGCAGTCATATGTCAGTTGTATTCAATGAATAGCTTTCATTCATAGCCATTCATTGTGTACTATTTTGATTATCCCTTTGGTCACAGTGATCACATAGTACAGACAGGGCCAATCACAGTGCATCTGTACCATGTGATAGCTGTGACCAATCACAGTTATCACAATAGTACACACTGGCAATGAATAGATGCCATTCAAAAAAATGATTGCTCATAAGAGTGATGATCTTCATTATAAGTAACCATAGTGTAGAAAAAAAATCTTGACTTTTTGTCCTGTGTTGTAAAAAAAAAAGAAATCAAGTGAAAAAAAAGTGTAAAAAACACCAAAGCATGCAAACTCCACCCACACCCACATGAATGTAAATTTTTGTTTATTAAGAATCTTACAAACATAATAAAAAAAATATATATATATCAGCATAGAAAACAGCTTTTTGCCAGGAAAAAAAATACAAGAACTAAATATACAAGCCAAAACATATTTTAAGTGTTTTTATTATTATAATGCACCTCAAACCCTAACCTCCACCTAAACACACTCTCAGATTAAGAAACAATTAAACATTGATCCCATGCATGCAGCCTTTTTTCAAAAATCTGATCTTATAAAAATCTAGGGGATATAAAAGGACAAAAAGAAAAGCCACACACACACAGAGATTGACAGATAGCAACTGTGGGGACCAGACATTCCTCCACACCATTGTCCAGGCCCCAGTCGCCACCTGTCCTTCTCAAGACCTCAAATATTCCCAAACTCACCCAGAATGTTGTGCACCACCACCTTGACAGGAAGGACTATGAAAACCTGACCCCATGTATTCCATGTTTAAAAACGGACTACTAAGCTAACTAGAAAAAGTGTATCAAAATCTCAGTCAGTTTGAAAGGCTCTGTAAGACCACTCCACGTAACTCAAGCAGAAAGGGAAAGGGATACACAGAGCCCCACCCACCTGCCTATACACTACTTTAAAGGGATTATCTCCAAATTAATCAAAAGCAGCCCCTCCCTCATAACAGGGCCTGGGCAATCCCTCAAAGCCAGTGGCTCTCTAAAAGCAGATTTAACAACCCTCCTCTTCAGGGCCTTCCTAGGAAGAGACTTAATTTCCTTTGCCGTGCCCTTAAGCGTTAGGGGCACCTATGTCCCAAAAACATTGATTGTGCTACACGTTATATATTGCCACGCATGCCAGAGTGAAAGATTTAATTCATGGTTAATTCTAAACCGATGACCTGTAGGGGCTTTTAAAGTGTCACCTATGGAAATTTTAAGGTACCAAAGTTTGTTTCCATTTCAAAGGTGTACACAGTTTTGAGGTTTGATATGCTGGGTATATGTGCATCAATACCAGTGCTGATAGTAACAAATGTCAGCTAAGAGATTCAAGTGAAGACACAGCAAGTGCAAACAATGAAGTGACCAAACAACGGCAAAATAAATGTCTGCATAAATTCTTCACTAAAAGTGGAAAGATTTCAGTGCCCTTTCAAGAAATCCATATGTGCAACACATCACTGCTGTGCATGTACAAGCAGCTTACCAGAGCTCTATGATCCCCATATTATGAGTGGTCAGCTGCGCTTATAATACAACTAAGGCAAATCAGCAAACATGCAGATCACATGTGATTCCGCCAACATACTGCAGCCTACACGGGCATTGCACAATAGGTACACCACAATCTTAGAGCCACATGAAATAAAAGAACTGGTATTATACATTCTAGTGGTTTGATTAGATTGAATTTTTTTTCTCACTTAAATTGTTTATTTAACCAACTCACCTCTCACACCTGTTCACCCCTGTGGAACAGAGCAATTTACATTTCTGCTATGGACCTGTTTTTTTCAGTGCTAACTTTGTCATTACTAAACATAACAAGGTTATATATATATATATATATATATATATATAGTGTTTTTTTAAGCACAAACAAGACTTTCTTTTTGTGATATTGTCTTGCAACAAGGATTTTGTTTTGCAATCCCTAGACAAATAATTTTGTTACTGGAGATAAAACGTTTATATTTTATTCTGTAATTTAAAAAAATAAATGTGCTGTGCCTTTAAACTATAAACAAACTAATATATATGATAAGTGCACAATAGATAGTGCTAAAAATAATAGGCACACTCATTCATAGCAAGTGTACTAATAAATGTGCAAATACATTGAATAAATATACTGTACATTCAACAAATGTACTGTGCCTTTAAATACATCATATGAATACACTGTGCCTTTAAATAATAAAACCATGATGAACATCAAATGACATTAGTACAATATGAACATATCGCAAATGTGCGTTTGTAACTAACCACTTGCCGTCTAGAGGTTTTATCCCCCTTCTTGACCACGCCATTTTTTGCAATATGGCGCTGCGCTACTTTAACTGATAATTGCGCTGTCTTAACACTGCAGCCAAATTAAATTTATGTTCTTTTTTTTTTCATTTTTTGAGCTATAAACAAAAAAAGATCGACAATTTTGAAAAAAAAACATTTTTTAATTTTTACTATAAAACCTATTTATTAAAATTTTTTTTAAAAAATCAGATTTTTGTCATAAATTTAGGCCAAAATATATTTTGCTAAAAAATTCTCAATATGTGTAAATTATTTGGTTTACATGAAAGTTATAGCGTCTACAAATGGTGATATATATATATATATATATATATATATACTGGAATTAATTAATTTTTTATACTAGTAATGGCGGCGACTGTGGGACTGCGGAGGGCATTCTGACACTGGGGTGGAACTAACTGCCAAGGACATCTCAGTGACACTAATACAGTGATCAGTGCTAATAAACAGTACTGACACTGTACTAATGACACTGGGCAGGAAGGGGTTAACAACTGGGATTAACATCTGGGGCGATCAAAGGGTTGTGTTTTACATTATGTGCTGTGTGTAATTTACTAGGGAAACAAGCTGCTTTGTATTGCTCTGCTGTGCAGAGCAATACAAAGCAGCCTGTTTGTGCTGACAGGGGAGAGATCTGTGTTGTTTACACACAGACCTCTCCCCTTTCACTGTTCCTCTGCAATTTCTAGGTGCTGGCTGGGAATCTCCAGCCGGGACCCAGTGATCAACAGCTGTAGCCACCAATGGTGGTGTGAGAAGGGCCTAACCCGAAAATGCAAAATCACATATATATATCAAATAAAATAAGTATAGCGAGCGTTCAATATATGGAAAATAATAAATACATAAAAATGAATAAAATATAAATAAATTAAATAAAATAACCAGCTGCAAAATGGACCGACATAGGATATCCAAACAACCCAGTAAAAGTATATATATATCAAAAGGTCAAAATAAATAATAATAAAACTCAATACAGTAAACTTCCAGATGAATACGGTGCTTAATTAGGCACACAAATGAGAAGTTATATTGTACAGTCTAATGAGTAGAGATGTGTGGAAAGAAGTGCAGGCTTGACTTAGGTAGGTCAGCAATACAAGTGGTTAAACTTTAGACTCGTGGGTAATTTCCATAGTGAACATCCTCATGATGTGACTCCGTGCAGCAATATATAAAATGCGCACTCACCAGATGCACATAGGTTATGCGCATTGAACCAATATGACTCTGTATGGGCCCCTTTAAATGGAACAGCCAGCAAGGAGCAAGGATCCCTCATCTGGACACCAGCTTCACATGCAGCCATGCTTCCTCTGGGGGTCTCTGTGAGCAGTTAGCTCAGAGCCAAGCAGTATATGAAAAACATATAGTGTAGTACTTTCTCAAAAAGTATTCATTTATTAAGGATAAATATCCAAAAATGTAAATTAAAAACATTCCATAACGATAATTGGAATAAATATAGCCAGTAAAGTGCACATAAGATAACATGTGGCGCTCAGTCACTCTCCAAAATGGCCACCGGACCTCCGTATGGCTCTGGTGGCGTGACGTCCACTTGTATTGCTGACCTACCTAAGTCAAGCCTGCACTTCTTTCCACACATCTCTACTCATTAGACTGTACAATATAACTTCTCATTTGTGCGCCTAATTAGGTGCCGTATTCATCTGGAAGTTTACTGTATTGAGTTTTATTATTATTTATTTTATATTTTAGCGCTGCACCTTTTGATATATATATACACGTATATATATTCACGTGATTTTGTGCAGCACTGCCATCCTGTAGCAGTAGTTCTGCTATAGGGCGATGGGGAAGCAGCTAATAGTGCTCCACCCTTAAGTGAATAACTAAAGTGCACAGTGCTTTAAATGGTATCCAGCTATCCCGGCGATCATCCACCACCACATACAGCGCCTTACCAGCTGTTAAGACTGAGGGGATGAGGTCTGCTCCTCTCCTGAGACTATATAAGCTGAATGATGATGGCATGCGTCCATGCCCCTGATGACATCACCTCTGGTGAAACACACTGGGTGCAGCTAGGATGCATAAAGCCATCTTGGATTCAGGCTGGCCGACTAATACCATTATATGCAGCGGGATTTCAGATGCTTCTTATTTGGGCACATATATGCTATTATATTGTGAAAGCGTTTTACATATTTTAAAGTGTTACTAAACCCAGGACCCTTCATTCACTATATCTGGTCTCCCACAGTACACAGAACATGGAAATGCAATTATTTTACTAAATATAAACTGCCTTTTCTCATCAGCAGTTGCATCAATCTTGTGACTTCTATCAGTGTCCAGCAGAGCACATGTTAAAGCTTGTAGGAGGAGTTTTCTTTCTGCTCTAGCAGGATGCAGAACCATTGACCTCTGTCTGGACAGCTCTTCTTGGTCCTGTGCTGATCACATGCACTCTCCCAAGAAAAAAAAAAACCTCTCTAGCAATACACACCAAACTGAGCATGTGCAGAGTGATCCCACAAGATATGTCTTATCTGGAGATAAGAGGGGGACACTGGAAGAAGGGGAGGATCAGAGAAGACAGGAAAAAAACACCCTTTTTACACAATGCAGAGGATTACTCCTTAGGGTTCCACAGTGAGTATAACAAGCATGCTTTACTGCATATACAGAGTGATTTTACTGTTGTGGGTTTAGTAACACTTTAATAAAGATGTTTTAGCGATTTTACACTATGGGATCCCGTTTTTGTGTTTGATTATACATTCCACATATACCAAATAGAGGATTGCTGCAGATCTTTATGTACACTGGAGCTGAAATCTTCCAATTTGCTTGGTTACATCATAAGTGCAGTTGACCACTCATTATATGGGGGTCATAGAGCTCCGGTAATCATCTTGTACATTCACAGCGATGGTGTGTTGCACATATGGATTTCTTGAATGGGCACTGAAATATTTCCACTTTTAGCACCACAAAGAATGTATACGGACGTTTCTTCTGCTGTTGTTTGGAAACTTAAAGAAAAAGTTCACCTTTTAGCAAAAAATTATAAATGCACATTTTTCTGTAGGTAACAAAAATATGCATTTACTATTTTTGTCTGCAGAAGCCTGTAATGCATTGCACCAGTGATCAGCAGTTCGCTGGCGCCACGCAGGTCTCCTGCAGATCTGTCAGTATATCTGCTTGCCTGTACGGGATGTATGAGCAAGCAGTTATACAGAAAGGAAGAATGAATGAACTACAGCGCAGTGATAGTTCATTGACGACCAGGGGCGTCCCTAGGCAGGTGCGGGGGGGGTTGCGCTGCATTGGGTGGCACCTATCGCACGGGGTGACACCGGACCTGCTCCACGAAAAGGTACGTTTTAAAGGAAGCTGACATTCCTCGCAGGATGGATCGGATCTGCAGATTGAGCATAACTGATCAGAGTCCGATCCATTATCCTCCCCTATCCACAGAACCGATCCATCCTGCAGGGATCGTCGGCTTACAACCTATATGGGGTTAACTGATCTCTCCACGAAAAGGTACGTTTTAAAGCAAGCCGATGATCCCAGCAGGATGAATCGGATCTGCAGATTGAGCATAATGGATTGGAGTCTGATCCATTATGCTCCTCAAGTGTTACCGCACTGGGTGACACCAACCCTAGGGACGGCCTTGTTGAGGACTACAAGCTGACAGCCACTAAGACTGCTGAGACTTGTAGTCTCTCATTCACAGAGGACTGTGGCACAGTACAACCGCGTGTTTTTTTTTTTAATTTGACAGCTGGGGGGGGGGGGGGGGAGGGGCTGATCTGATCATAACATGTGACACCCTGAATATGGGTGTAACATGTAACATTTTAGGAAAGGTAAACTTACCCTTTATCTGTATGCACTTGCTGCGTCTTCACTTGAATCTCTGAGCTGACATTTGTTACTATCAGCACTGGCATTGGCGCACACATACTGTATATACATTTGTTTATATATTTGCACGTATAATAATTTTGATGTTTGGGATATTACAACTCACATATTTTGCTTAATCACACTCTAAGTATAGCATAGCACTTTAAGGCTCAATTTCTGATAGTATTAGGTATCCTAATACTGTGCTAGCAGCTTTTCCCCATCAGTTGTGATTATACCCGGTGTGGGGATTCATTAAGCTATCCCTTTTCTCAGCTCAACCTCATCTTTTATTTTTTTACCAAAAATGTAAAATCTTGTTTTTGTGTGCCCTAAAATGAACTTTAGTGTATTTTTAACTGAAATTTGATTAATTGACAAACTGCTCCCCTAGTATCAGGCGACATAAAACAAATTGGAGCTACCACTAGTTTATTCACCGGAGTACTTGCTTTCAGAAAATATATAATGTTTTGTCAAGCCTGTACAAAAAAATACAAAAGTGGAAGGGTTAAGATGTGTTTCAACATTTACCATTAAAAGCACAGTTATTGGTTTCATATATTTTACATTTTGCTTGGTTTCATTTTAGTGGATTTCCTCTAAACAAATGAATCGACTATATATGTCATGGAAACAGTTTTAATTTATAAGGCTGGGTCCATACTGGTATGCTGCGTTTTGGGTATATCCATGGTCAGGGTCGAGACAAGGAGTGGGCAGGAGGGCTGGATGCCCTAGGCGCAGTGGGGATTTGGGGGGTTGTGCTAAGTATGTTTTTTTTTTTAGAGGGGAGATTGCACTAGGAGGGTGGATATGTGTTAACAAGAGGGATTTGGAGGGGAGAGGGGGTTGTGCTAGAAGGGGATATTTGGTGGGGGGAGGATTTTGGGGTGATTTGTGCTGGGACAGAGGGATTTTGAGGGGGAGGTGGTTTGAGGATTTATGCTCAAAGGGGAAATTTAAGGGGTAGAGGATTTGTGATAGGAATGGGGTTATGAGGACAGAGATTATTTGAGCTGGGAGGGGGGTTTGTACTGGAAGAGAGGGCATTTCTGTCTGACTTGAATTTTGGCTTGCAAAGGGAGTTTATGCTTAGGGGGTAAGTGTGAAGATTAGTGTTTGAAAAATGTTTTTTTGGGGGGGTGGGGATTTTTGCTGACACATAATGCTCATACATTTTAAGGGGGGGGCACCATTTGGCATCTTCGCCCTAGGTGTAGATGGCCTTGTCCCACCGCTGTACACAGTTTACGCACGTTTTATCCACTTTTTTAGCTGCGGTCCCATTGACTTCTATTAGGTGACACGTTTTTGCTACATTTTCTGAAAGCACACCAAATGTTCTGTATGTCACATCTTTGGTGCACTTTCAGAAAATGCAGCAAAAACATGCAACCTAATAGTCAATGGGACCGCAGGTAAAATGCATCTTGTGCCACATTTCCTATACATAATGCCATTGTTCAACAACACTATTTAGCTACTTGTCAAATGGCTGATTCCCCACCAAGAAACAGCAGAGCTGCTAATAGTGTACTCAAACGTACTGGGCACATGACAAAGATGGCGCTGTCCCTTCCTTTACTGATGGCAGTGTTCTGCAAAATCTCCATCCTCTGCTTTGAACGGAAAGGATAAGCACCGAAATGTAACAGTCACCGTTTTTGCACCAGCGGGTGGGGACCCACACGTGACCTTCAGTTTCTTCTGTCTGAAACGTGGATAGATTGCTTATTCTGTTTGCTTGATGGTTATGTCTGTTTTGAATATGTACCTTACATCTGTACGGAGAGCTTCTTATGTTATATTCAAGTATAGTTTTGACTATATTATCTGCCCTCCTGTGGAGTATTGGGACTTTTAGATGGTAGGAGGGCCTCTTCCCTTGGTGATGGGAACATGTCTGGCCCGGGCCCCGTTATACACAGGAAGACAAATAGCAATACCCAGTCTATTCTGCGGTTCTCTTCAAGTTACCAAGTAGTTGCACCTCTCTGCAACCCTGACTAGGGCCTCCTGCAATGAAACACAGAAGCTATAGTTTTCTGTAACGTCTTCTTTATGTGTGAAACCGCAAGGATCGGGACAATATAGCGGCCTGTTTGGTTAAATGAATCTTTATATTCAGTGAGGCTGTGCATACTAGTATTGAATATTCTGTTACGTAGTCCTGTTGAATATGCAACATGGCTTTCACTTTCCCCTAGAGATGTGCAATTTGTTTCATTACAAATCAAACTTCGGATGAAATTTTTCGTGATTGGGATGTATCTAAATTTCCGAATCACAATAGTAATAAATTTCAAAGAATCCAAAATAAATGATAATGAAACAAATTATCCAAATTCAAAAATGAATTTGATAATGAATTTGAAATGGAAACATAATGCAATACATACAGTAAGTTATAAAAGTGGAATAGGATGATGATTCCTACTTAGGCTGCTTTGTAGAATAGAAGAACATAGAATAGAAAAGAACAGAATATAAAATAATAGAATAAAATATACAATAGTACAACATAAAAATAGAATAGAATAGCATAGAATAAAATATCATAGACTTAAACAGACTAGAATATTATTATAGAATGGAAAATAAAGGAATAGAATAGAAAAAGAATAGAATGAAATAGAGTAGAATAGCAAAGAAAATAATAAAACAGAATAGAATGGAAAATAAAGGAATAGAAAGGAATAGAATAAAAAAGAAAAAAAAAATAAAACAGAATAGAATAGAAAAATAGAATAGTTTGAACTAGAATAGAATAAAATCAAATAGAATATTGCTGTCTTCCGCAATTCGAATTTCTAATAGAATAAATAGAAAGAATATAGCTGCCATCCAAAATTCAACATTCAAATTTAGAATAGAATATAATAGAATACAATAGAAATAACATAGCCGTCTTTCGAAATTTGAATTTCTAAATTTGAATTTTGAATAGAATAGAATAAAATAGAAAGAATGTAGCTGTCTTTCAAAATCTGAATAGAATATAGCCATCTTCTGAAATTTTAATTTCAAACTTCGAATAGACTATAATAGAATAGAAAGAATATAGCCGCCATCCAAAATTCAACTGGAGGGGTTATGGTTGGTAGGAGGTGACTAAATGTAGCTCTGGACCCTGTACTGGATGCATCTAAGTGGGCTTCACACTTGCCTGTTGCCTCACTCAGGAGGCTTGAGAGAAAGCTATCATAGGAGGACCTAATTTATGTGTGGCACATACAGTACTACATAAAGACATCCATCTGCCCTATGCTTAGTTGCTTCAGGAGATATTGGTCTTCGGACCATATCAGATCATGCACCAGTTTTTGTGTCTTGGATCCTGGGTGGTACTGTCAAACAGTCTGGGAATTGGAGATTAACTGAGAGCTTGATCCAAATTCCACAATAAATGCATACTCTGGATGGTGAAATAAGGGAATACTTTGCAATGAATGCAATCCCAGAGACTTGTCCATGGGGGTGGTGTGGGAGGCATATGAATGTATATTTCGGGGCACACTCATCAAATTTGGGGCTAGAGACAAAAAAGAATGGTTGCAGGAGATTGCGTCACTTACTGTATAGACCAGATTCAGGCAATGGAGAGATCCTACAAACGCTCCTTGACAGTCAAAACAGCAGTTGAGCTAAAGATTCTGCTGGATTCCTTGAACTCCATTTTGTTCTCCAAGACGAAAGCAAAACTTATGTACCCACGGAGGCATTTCTACAAAAAGGAAAATCCCGGAAGACCACTGGCTTGGGCCTTGCGAGGGATCAGAAACAAGACCTTTATTGGCATCAACAATCATTTACCTGATTAGGAAGGAATGACATTTGAAAATGACTGTCCTCCAAAGACTGTCGTATCTCCTGCAGACTCTGTCAGTGGAAATACCAAGATCCTCTGGGGGCTACAAAACTAAGAGGATATCATCGGCTCTGCCAAAAAAAGGGGAGAATTGGGTTCCCGGGCCCTAATAAATATTTCTGTGCTGTCCATATGGCATGAACATTGGACTGGATGAAACACGCCACCGAGAAGGTTTGGGCTGCCCAGAATAAGATATGTTACCCCTTTTGTTGCAGTCTATTTCTTGGCAGACCCTTTCAATCTGATATTGAATTCCACCCTTTGATCAATACCACTCTGATAGTTCTGCCCAAGCTGGATGTCTTTTAGCCCCCCTTCAGACTCTTACCTACAGTATATGTCTCCAGTAATCAGACCCCAAGTGTTCTCCCCTGGGTTAGTAGAAGCCTGGTATAGGCATTTCTTTCTAATCAGGTAAGGATCCAACAATTCTTGCAGAAGGGTAAATAGTGGTCCCTTACTGGGATATAGAATATGCTTTCCTCCTACCAAACTAATGGTGGGTAATGCAAATATGATATTACTGAACTTCAATTTAACTATGTATCCCAGGTGTCTACTACATCTTTTTGAGCACCATTTCACCATTGTGACACACTCTATCAATTTCCTACTCCCTAACAAATTGGCCATCTGATGAGTTCATCTTTCTCTGCAGAAGTGAGAACAGAACTCGGGAAGGACTCTGACTCATGAGCAGAGGGACCATGTTCTCTTCTTTAATCACCACTTCTCCATCTGAAGCAGATATCAAGAGGTGGGTTCCAAATTTTTGTCATGTTGGTACAGGGTTTTGTCCCTGTGTTGGCATTGTCAATGGGAGAGTGTCACCCTGATACATATGTTTTGGTCTCGCCATTTAATATGCCCCTTTTGGGAAGAGATTCAGCAACTGGATGATTATTCGTTTTTTCTATTACATCTTACTGTGTTCTCGAAAAGCCGATATAAGAAATACCTCCTGATGCACCTGCTTAATGCCACCAATCTGTGCATTCCACAAAAGTGGACAAGTGCTGATGGTCTAACAGATGGACAGAGGATATCTGTGGTAAACAAGATAAATGATATGGAATGCCTGACTGCTGTTCTAAAGTGTAAAGATGAACAATTCTAGAAAACATGGTAATATTGGCACAATGTCCACTATATGCAAGAATACAGCTCCCACATATCAACCCTTGTAATTTAGACTTTGCCTCTGTAGACACTTTTGTCACTCATCCCGTAATTTGGGATATCGCTACTGCTTAGTTGTCTTGTGCCCCCTATTTTAGTCTCACTGCTCCCCCCCTCCCCTTTTTCTTTCTCTCTCTCTCTTGGCATTTTCCTCTCTTTTTTTTCTCTCATATCTCCTGTTTATTCTGGAGTTTTTTTTTATAATTCTTGAAAATAAACCCTTTAGTCTATCTATACATCTCTGGATCCTAGTTAACTGTCTGAGTTTATACGGTCTATGGATTTTTTTTTTTGCTATGTTCATCTACTTCAGGGTCTGCGTGAATCAATTATGAAACTGTCAAATTAAATGTTGAATATAGCACTTCAAAATGCAAGATGTGCAATGCCCAGCTACTGATGATGAGGGACCTATAGGTATGTAGTTTTGTTTTAACCACAAGTGGCAAAATATATTTTTTGTTTTGTTTTGTGGCTGAAAAGGCACCTGCACAATGAAAAATCATTGGTGATGAACTGATAAAAAAAAAAAAAAAGCCACGTGTTCTTTTTAAATTATTTGGTGAAAATGTGCATAGTAAAAATAATGTAATGACAATAATAAAAAAACAATTACCTTGAATGGTTTACAATAAAATATACCCGGTTTGAGGGTATGTTTATCATTTTAAACCAGTAAGAATTTTAAAGTTACTGATGCACTATGAGGAAAAAATTTAATATATAGAAATTGATTAAAAAAATATTGATGTTTCACTCAGGGGCGGACTGACATCTCATGGGGCCCCCGGGCAATAGGGGATCATGGGGCCCCTGTGTCCTTGCCCAAACTCAAAAAAGCCTATATGAAAAAGGTACCAATAACATCTCATAGGGCCCCCTACTGACCCCGGGCCCTCGGGCAGCGCCCCGAGTTTCCAAATGGTCAGTCCGCCCTTGGTTTCACTTCTGTATTAAAATAAATTACAAAGTTACATAGCTGAAATGAAATATGATCTGGTCCATAGGGGATAAAATAGGTATGACAGCTAACATAGCTAAAGACAATCTTATTCAGCCCTTCATTGGAAGCCTGATACATCGCTTCTACAAGGAGATGGCTATCTCAGGAATGGGGTTGGAGTTCATAGAGTTAATAATATGTAATTCTGGGTTTCTGGAAAATTTCAGTAACTGAATTGTAAACATATTCATGGGATTGTAAAAACAGAGTGGGATTTGAAAAAGTGGAGTTTAAAACCAAAACAATTGTTTATGGAATAAGTGATTTCTCTTCTTCTTAGGAAACCTTACTATCAGCTTTTAAAACACCTTTTTTTTCTCATTTTCTGTCACTCTTTAAATAATTTTTTTTCTTCATTCCTCCAGTCTGCTATTTGAAGGGAATAGTTGGTAGTAATTAAGGATTCTACAATCAGGAGGACTTATAGAAAAAATTTGTCACCAGGATTGTCTCAACTGAATTGTTTACTGTTACCCAGTATGTGTTGAACTGGGTAGATAAATTATTAGGAGGGACTAGACCTGTGGATTAGTGTAAAAGCAGCCTAATATTTAATCCATTTATAGATACTAATATGCCCATTGTAAAAGCGCAGTGTATGTATTTAATACATGGACCTTATTTTTCTATTTCAGCTTTTGTTGTCATCGCCCTCCAGACTGCTAAAAAGATCCAGGCGAAGTGCTGTTGGTATCACTGCACCTGGGACAGGAGTCGGTGCTACAGAGGAGGCATCAGTTTATGCGGCTCCTGCTTCCTCTGTGGCCGGCGCTGGCTCAATGCACTTTGATGTTCTGGGATGGCAGGGTCGGAAAGCTCCGATCGCGATCAACAAGTGGCTGACCCAGGACATGCACTTGCTTGCTTTGAGGTCGCAGGCCACATTAGAAGGCCAGGGGTTGAGCACACGTGGCTAAAGTGTAAATAAAGTCTATACGCTTGGAAAATTCAGTCTATAAATGAGTAAGATACCAGCTAAAAGACCATATTCAGAGAGTAGTGATTAATGACTCATAATCTGAATGGTCTAAGGTTATTATTGGTGTACCCCAAGTTTTAGTGCTGGGATCCTAACTTTTTAACCTAATAATAAATAATATAGAATTTGGCACTAAAAGTACCATTTGCAGAGGACACAAAGCTATGGAGTGGAAAAACGTCCTTTCAGGATGTCTCCAACTTACAAGCAGACCATAATGCACTGTTTAACCGCTTCCATACCGGGCACTTTTACCCCCTTCCTGCCCAAGCCATTTTTCAGGTTTCAGTGCTCTCACACTTTGAATGACAATTGCGCAGTCATACAACATTGTACCCAAACTAAAATTTTTGCATTTTCTTCACACAACTAGAGCTTTCTTTTGGTGGTATTTAATCACCACTGGAGTTTTTATTTTTTGCTAAATTAACAAAAAAAGACCAAAAATTTTGAAAAAAAAACAAATTTTTCTTTGTTTCTGTTATAAAAGTTTGCAAATAAATAATTGTTCTTCATAAATTTAGGCCAAAATGTATTCTACTACATGTCTTTGGTGAAAATAACCCAAATTAGTATTTTATTATTTAGTCTGTAGGAAAGTTATAGAGTTCACAAACTTTGGGATATATCTGAAAATTGATCAATCCTGAAGCATTGACGGCCAATCTAATTTCTTGAGGTCCAAGAATGTCAGAACAGTACGTTTTTTGGCCATGCCCCCAGGCTATCTGTTGATGATAGTTGGACCCTGCTGAGTCCATTACTTGCAGAGTCTCCTAGGGGACAGCTGAGGGGTACTTTAGTGTGGCAACACACGATCCATAAGAAGATACCTTGGACGGACTGCTGTACTTAGATGATGACCCTATCCATCTATGAGACAACTTCGTTTGGATATCGGGATACCATCTATATGCATATTTGAATTATGCATCTGGTGAGTGCATGATTCAATTACTCTGATCACCGGAAGACGCACGTTTTTCAGTCACCATTTATTGTTTAAAGGACTATTATTGCTTTTTTGCACAGTTTTTGGCACTTTGTTATCACTTTACATACATATGGTTTATAATTATACTGTACTTTAGCGCTGCGCCCTTTCTTTTTTGTATATTTTTTTAGTACAGATATCCCCCAAATGACCCGCTTTTGCAAAGTAGACAGTCCGACGTATTTCATAACAGGCATGGAGAGTTTTTTTGAAGTTGTAATTTTTTTGTCATAATTTTTCGGAAATGAAGAAATAAAAAAAATGATTTTCACTATTTTTTTTTTACATACTGTCACCAGTGCAGTACAGCGTCATCATATAACTGGCATGGCGGTAATCAGGGACACTGGTGACAGTACAAAAAAAAATGATAATTTTTTTTAATTTTTTTATTATTTTTTATTAATTTTTTTTCTCTTTTTTTACGATTTGTTTTTCTTATTTCACTATGACCAAAGTAGTACAATGTTATCATAGTAACATTGTACTACTTTGGGGAAGTGATCAGTATTTTTTTTTACACAATTTGCTTATAGCAAAGAATTACTTTGCTATAAGCAAGCATTTACCGTAATGAAATCGATTCATTCAGGATTTTTTTTTTTCTTAACTGTGATTTGGCCACAGCTAATCACATGACACAGCTGGACTGTGATTGGCCCAGCTTGTGCATGTGATCGCTGGGACCATTCACAGCTAGCCACAATTGTATACAATAGATGGCATGAAAGGAAGCCATCCATTGTATATAACTGTCATGTGACCTGCTATGATTGGTCACAGCAGGTCACATGGTACCAGCAACGGGGCCGGTACACAGATCTGTCATCGGCCGTGTCCAAGGTACACGGCCGGTGACAGATTGCGCTGCTGCGTGGCTCTGCGGACAGGCAAACTGTGCATGCCTGAAAGGACGCCATATGGTACGAGGTGTTTTGCAGGCCGCCATCTGCCTATAGGCCGGGCGGGAACCTGTTAATGGGGCAACTATGTGGCAAAAAAAGGTTTAATATTTATAAATGTAAAGTTATGCACTTGGGGGCTAAAACATGCATGCATCATACATTCTAGGAGGGGTAAAACTGGGTGAGGCAATGGTTGAAAATGGATGTGGATTTTCTGGTAGATCATATACTTAATATTAGCATGCAATGGCAATCTGCAATTTTTAAGGCAAGCAAAATACTTTCATGTATCAAAAGAGGTACAGTATAGACTTGAGAGAGAGAGAGATACACACACACACACAAATCCTTGCCAGTGTACAAGGCATATGTAAGATCTCATCTGGAATATGCAATTCAGTTTGGGCAACAGTTTACATGATATTGGGGAACTGAAGAAAGCGTAAATGAAGGGCAAACAAACTGATAAGAGGCATGGGGGACCTCACCTATAAGGAAAATTAGCTGAATGGAATGTATTCTTTTTTGAGAAGACGTGATTAACGGGGTACGATTACCATGTATTCATACATAAATGGTCAATATAGTGAACTTACTACAAGGTTATTCACTTGAAGGTCAATTCAAAAGTCATTACAAAGGCACTCTTTTTGTATGGAGTAAAATAAGTTTAAGTTCCACATATGGAAAGGAGTTTTCAAAGTAAGAGTTGTATATATGTGGAATAGACTCCCTCAGGAACTAGTTCTGGTCAGCTCAGCTGATTGCTTTAAAAAAGAGCTGGATGCATTCCTAAATACACAATATATAATTATAAATTCCCATGTATTACTAATAACGCCAGAGACTGTTGATCTAGGGAATATCCAATTGCTGATTTTTTTCCCCCACTGCGGCAAATTGAACCATGCTTTATAGGGTTTTTTTTTTGCTTTTTTCTGTATCAACTGTTGGTATAGGGTTTTGTACGTGGAGGTTTTATTTTTACTTATTTTTTTTTTCACTATTGATTGAACTAGATAGATGTGTCTTTCAATCTGGCTAACTATGTAGCTATATTCACTGGCAACATATGCTTTTCTGATAATATAGTGAATGTGGTCTCTTTGAATGTCAACCTGTAAATGTCATGTCGTATTTTTAAAACATGTTTTATAGCAGTAGATGTGAGACTCGTACATGTAGCTAATGAGAGTGTGGCTTTTTATAACAGTACACAAAATAAAGGGCACCCTTTCCTAACCACTGGTGCTCAGTGCTTATTGGCACAAGGCTCTCTGGCATCCCCAATGCCCAGGATGAGATGCCACTTCTGTAGTTAACTTGGTAAAGAGGTCCTTTTTCTCCATCCCCTGCTGGGACCCTTCCACATTTCCTAGTCTCTGGTTGAGAAAGAATAATTCAGGGAACTGTGGAAAGAGGTCATGGGTTGTTAATACCCAACTCTGTGAATTATATAATAGCACTGAGAACCAGTGTTTTGAGTGGGTTATCCCATTTTCGGTCCCCTCCCAGTCAAAGTATCCCTAAAAGGGCAACATTAAAGACATTAAAGACTGTCTAATCCACTCATGCTCTGTACCACTACAATTGCTTCAAATGGAATCTGTGGGAATGGAGATATGGTGCTACCATTACTGACTTATAAACCCACAGAAAAGTATGCAGACAGTGAATCCTGACCTCCTGCCCTGCATACCTATATGAGGACAGTGAATTGCTAGTACTGATGCCAAAATCAGGATAACAGCCCTGGAGACTGCACCTTTAAATGAAAGGCAACAATGGCAGTTCCCATATTTCTATCTTTATGTGATTATACATTGTACTAGTAGCAATGTGTTCACCAGACTGGTTTAACAAAATTGCACAAAGTTCATGCTATTCTATAACCTGTGACAGCAAATTAGAAATAACATTGGTTCATTTTACAAAGCTAACACACCAGGATAAAGATCCTTACT